TTTAAAAGTTCGTGTGCAACTTCGGTGGCTCGTTTTGAAGTAAGTGGTCGAAGATATAAATATTTGGTTGCGTGATCCTGATAGTTCATGACCCATTTAAAATTTCCATCGGGTGTTGATTGGAAATCAATAAGGTCAATTTGCCCTCTTGAATTAAAATCTGCCGATAATATTGGTTTTATAACGACGCCTTTACAAGGTTTTGATTTTTTTTTGTTACAAGTTGTACACAAATTAATAAATATTTGGATTGCTATTCGAGGAATGTTGTATTTATTTTTTAAATTCTGCTCAACTTTATCCCTTCCACCATGACCAGTCGCTTTATGGCTTTCTTCGATTTTTTCAAAATAGTTTTCATATGGTACAACATAAATAATATTTTCGGTTTTAGTTTTTGGTTTTAAAATAATATGTTTAACATTTCCTACTTCAATCAGATCATATTTACGACATAAATAATATTGGTTTTGAGTTTTAGTTTTACCTGGATTCAATTTCGCATCATTGATTTCGTTTAGAGCTTTGTCGTAGTCTTCCTGACTCCATGGCTTTTTTTTATCTTGGTTGTCGTAAATTGATTTTAATTTTTCATAAAACAATACACTGTGTGACATATTATATTTTAAAATACAAATAAAAACAATCAAAATTTTAAATATACAAAAAATGTCAATTGGTATACCTATGTTACAATATTACATGCAATCACGATCACACTACATACGATTTACGTAAACGTAATAGACGTACTAAACTAAATTATTGTACAATTCAATCGCATGTTCTGTATCTTTTTTGGTAACGTCATATTTTTGTCGTTATAATCGATAAGATTATAATTTGTCCCACGGTACTCAATATAGATAAGGTTCTCATACAACCTAGTACCCACGTTAATTTTCCAAGGTAAAAACCAATGGAACTTTTATTTTTATTTAATAAGAATATATAGTACTCACTACTCGTACTATAGACTATATTGACTATATATGCTATACAAAATACTCGTACTATCATTTATGTCTATCACATCTAATTAGTTATTACCTGAATATATTTATGATTTCATTTTTAAAACAATACTAAATAATAATTAACACAAAATTAAACATATTATTTCATATACGAGTATCTACGTGTTTTTCATATTA